TTGTGCATTGTTAGAAAAGTTGGGGTTTACTTGGGGACGTACTTGAGTTTGGAAATTAGGTCGATTTTGATTTTGAAAATTTGCACGTTGAAAATTCATTCGATTTTGAAAATTACTCCGATTTTGACTTTGTGGAAATTGTGTTTGTCTTGAATATTGATTTATTTGTCTTGGAAATTGATTTGATTGTATTGGAAAATGTGACCTGAAGTTTTGATTCGGTCTTTGTTTTTGTGATGGATTGAAATTTGGTTTTGAGGCTTTTTGGGACACAAAATATGAAAGTTGTGTTTCTCTTTTTATTCTTTGTGCGGCTTCCGTCATGTTTTGAGGGTTGCTTGCACGTATTATTTGTCCAATTCGTGGTTCTAAACCTGTCAAAAGGGTGTTTAATGACATATTATTTATTAATGTAATTTGTGCGTCTTTTTGTTCTAGCGTAGAGTTTGATTTATTAACGCAAAAAATCATTTTAGCATTGTGAGTTTGTATGCGTGAGTGGAAAGCAATACTTGATTCTCCATTGGGCTGTTTCATTCGTAGCAAATCTCGAATGAGTGAATTGATATCACGAGAATTACCAAAATGAGTAGTTAATAATTGTTTAATAGCAGTATATGTTATAGGATTTTGAGAAATTACCAAAATTGCTGCTTTTCCTTTTAATCTATTTTTGAAATGTGTGATGAGCAGACATTTCTGATCGTTGGTAGCTAATGCGAACCCTTGATCACATGCATTCAAAAATGTGTTCAATAAAATAGTGTCGCCATCATAATCTGGTATTAGTGAAAATAATTCGGACAGTTTGTATGATTCGACTTCTGGATCTTGATTTGGCATTTTAGAAAGTTTTGTAATATACAAGTTTCAGATGTTGTTACTTTCAGTTTTCTTCAGCAGTATGAAGGTATTTCTTTTTTCAGTTGTCTTTCGTCTTCAGCTGTATGAAGATAGTTTCAAGATGGTTTTGGATGAAATTGGGTGAGAATGGAATGGATAAGAGAACTTAAATTACAATCAATTAAGATGATAATTCAAAGTCACTTACATTTGCGGTGCTGGGTTGCTGAAATCCTCTGTCAGGGGCTTCACTGGGTGTTCCTAGTCCACAGGAGGTTTCAACAGGGTTTTGACGATTGGGGTTGTCTTGCGATTCGCTGTCAGAGGCTTCACTAGGTGTTCCTAATCCACAGGACTCTCAAGACGGGGTTTTGGTTTGGTTTCTTCTTAAATCTATGCGGTTTCGTTTCTTGGGCTTCCCTTCTTTGTGGAGTATGAAATCCTACTTCATAAGGCAGAACTCCACTGCAGATGAGTAACGGCTTGCGACTTACACGTGTTTCTTCAGTGTTGAAGAGACCGTCCTTCCACTTGGGTTGCTTTTTTGGTTCTTTTCTCTTTGAAGATATTGGATCACCGTACGAACTTCTCTGGTGCCTCTCTTCTTTATTGGCTTGGGGTTTCTACGTTTTTAGAAATCCGTACGATTGCGCCACTTTGTTATATTTGGTTTTCAAATATGAGCTTTTTAAAAACACAATTTATTTTGGTTCACAAATACAATTATTGAACTTCATGAGCTGAAGTGAATTATACAAGTAATAATAACTTATGAACGCTGACTTCGGGTCTTGCCTGCTTTTATAGGTAATTCCTATACAAGTATAGCCAGATTTTTCTCTCAACCCCGAACTTGTTACTGTCTTCATTTTCTCCAATGTTTTTACTGGTCTTCTGTTCCTTCTTTTTTTCCGGTATGAAACTGTTTTGAAACTATTTTCTTCATTTCCATCATCAAGTTTGAACATAGTTCTTATCACCCTTTTTTGAATTCCAAATATATTCGAGATGCCACTACAAGATCCCCAGAATAATATACCAAATTTTGCGGAAGACTCAAAATTTGATGCATATATGATGTTTAATGATTTTTGTTAAGATAAGTACTAATCATCCTTACACTGTAGCAGATTTGATTCAATTTTTTTTCCTAAATTTATAATGTGGGTATGCCAGTGAAGATGCCTATTGATGTGTATACCTAAACGTTTTGTTGAGGTTTCTACTTTCATTTGATTATTTGCTAAATGAACAGTTGTTGGTGATTCAATTCTTTGTTGAAGGATTCTAAATAGAATAACCTTGGTTTTGTCGGTGTTAAGAATAAGGCCATTTTTAGAAAACCAGTGCTGTATTTTTTCGACTAAATGGGATGATTTGGTAATTAAATTCCGATAGTTGCAGCTAAGAACCAGTAAATTTGTGTCATCGGCATAATTAGTGATAGTAGGCCTCATTATTTAAAATATTAAGATCATGAAAATTACAAATAGAATAGGACCTGTTACACTTCCCTGTGGAATGCCTATAGTATTTTCCCTGATATCAGACTTAAATATCTTAACATTTTTTATAATTTTCGTTCTTTGTTGACGATTTGATAAATATGATTCGAACCATTTCAATACAGTCCCTTTAATTCCATATTTTTCGTTTTCCCAATAAATACGTGTGATTAAGGCAGTCATATGCTTTAGAAAGGTCTAAGAATATTCCAAGAAGTATTTCGATATTTTCAAATGACTCGATAATGTTTTCAGTAAACTGTATGATTGCTCTGTCAATTGATCTTCCTTTAATGTATACGTGTTGAGTTGGGTTTAAGAGATTACAATGTTTCATGAAGTTAATTAATCTATCACACTTCGCCATTTCAAAAAGTTTAGAAAACGATGGCCTATAATTTTCAAACAATTCACAATCTTCTTTTTTGTATATTGGTGTTATGAGAGCTAGTTTCAATTGTTGATGAAACATTCCATATTTGAATGAGATATTCATTATATAGCAAATTATTTTGGAAATATTATCTATACATATTTTCATCAGACTTACTGGTATTTCGTCATCTCCACACGTGTGTTTATTTTTTTATTTTCCGTCCCAGATTCCTAATTTCTTCTTCAGTGACTGGTAGAAGAAACATCGATTGTGAATTATTTGAAATATTACATGAGAATTGGGTCTTATCTATTTTTCCAAGTATTTCCGGAATGACATTCAACAGAAATTCATTGTACTGATTGGGTGTTTGTGTTGGATTTCCATCAAATATTGAATCTGTCGTGTTATTTCTGCCTACGATCTCTTTATATATGCTCCACATGCATTTCATTTTATTATCAGAATTTCTGATTTTTTCTTGGTAACACTCACTTCTTTTTCTGTTCAAAATTTCATGATATTCCCTTTTTGTTTCATTATAGACACTTGTGTAAAATACATGTGGAATATTCATCTTTTATATTTGTCAAAATATTGTCTATGCATTTTTTTGATGTAAGGGTAATTCTTGTGTAATCTACAATAGTGAGAATAAATGAAAATGAATTCAGTAAAAAAGTCATTCTTGTAATGTTTTTATCATCGTCTTTTAGATCAATGTTGAAGTCACCTGCTATGAGGATTAAATTACTTACACTACTGATTTCCTCAAGAATTTTCTCGAATTTATCATAAAAATCATCAAGGGACTCATTTTTTGGAGGTCGGGATAGACTTATCACAATGATATTCTTATTATCTATTGAACATTCAATTGCTGCACATTCAAATATGCGTTTTTTAAAGACACTATTAATATTTTTTCAACACTTTGTAAATCATATCTTCTTTAACTTTTACTATTATTACGTATGCCATTTTCTATGTACCTGACGATTTCTATACGTGTTCAATCATGTCAAAAAGAAAAATAAAGATGATCATCATTATTATTATTAACGTAAACTGCCGCCCCACCATGTTCATTTTCAGAATGACAATAAAAAGAAGCGAGTTTGAAGTTTTGGATCCCATAAAGTTTTAATTGCCATTCACATTTCCAATGTTCTGTCACCGCTACGAAGTAACCATTTCTATGTTGATTTAGCAAAAGGTTCAGATCTTCTACACTATTTCCTATTGATTGCAGATTCTGGTGAATGAGGCTGATTCTTTCTATTCGGTTTAATTTTGTTGGAGGGTTTTGGTGGGTCCGTAACTAAAAATCCTCCTTTCTTTGATATTGATTGTATTTATGAAAATCAAACCGCTTGAAATCTACACTTCTGGGCCATGTTGTTTTTCTGTAGATGATATCTTTAAACGACTCATTTATACCAAACATGAAACATTTATTTTGGTTTTCATTTGTTGGTAGTTCTTTGATCACTGTTTCAGCATCTTTCGGGTCTTCTATGCTCTTTATATATTCTGCGATTTTTTCTGTAGTTATACTATGTCTGTTTCTATACAAGTATAGCCAGATTTTTCTCTCAACCCCGAACTTGTTACTGTCTTCATTTTCTCCAATGTTTTTACTGGTCTTCTGTTCCTTCTTTTTTTTCTGGTATGAAACTGTTTTGAAATTATTTTCTTCATTTCTATCATCATTATTATTTGGTAGATTTATGATTTCAGTCATTTTACTTTGCTGGATGTCTTCAAGCAATTTTAGATTTTTCCCCTGTGAGTCATCAATCTCCATATCACTTTGAGTGGAATCTCCTTGGGAAAAACTGGATAAGTTTTTTGTAACTGTCTGTAGGTTTGTTTTTACCACTTCACTGTATTTATGTTTTTCTTTGGGCTTTGATTTTTTGTTTGTTTCCACTTTTAATGAATCGATCTTTTCTTGCAATAGGTTATTGTTTATTTGTAATAATTTATTATTTTCCATAAGCAAAGTATACTTATCATCTTTTTCACTTATATTTTTTTTAGCATCCCATTTTCAATCTTCAGCTTTTCATTTTCATTTGTCGCTCTATCTTCACGGACTTGTTTGAAGTTAAAAGTACAACAGTTTATCCTGCTGTCACTGATTTTGATGCATTTCAGTCTGGTTTTTGCAGTACATGACACACATGATAGCTGTTTCCGCACTCTACACATGTTAGATATTTGTTTGATTTAGATTGGCAACATTTAAATGTTTTTTCACCAAATGTTTCATCATTTACTATGAGGACATCTGATTTACCACCTGACTTGGTCGCCATGTTGAATACACATATAAACTTAAAAAAAGGCCCTTAGAGCTGGGACATTTCAAGACACTGTTAGCCTTCTATTAAACAAATGTAAGAGGCAAAGGACGTTTAATGATGTCTTGCAAATACATTCATTGTACTACATACGTTTACGGAATTCGGGAAAACGAGGCTCAAAACAGAAGGCCGGCTTGCAAGTGAAAAAAAAATATAGAAAGTTTAATTTTTCATAATTAAATAAGTGTACAAGAGAGTGAGAACAGAAGGTTGTACTTGTGCAACGGCTGACAATAAACTACTAAAGCATAAGCCAGACTTTAGTGGATGTCGAAAGATGCCTTTTGCATTCTTGTTTTTCAATGCTGTTCCCACCAAACGGGTTAAAAGGCGCTTTTGGACCCTGATCAGATGAATATATTTATTTATTTGGTATAAATGGAGAACCCTAAGTTACAATGTTGTTATGTGTTTATAATAATATTATTATTACTATTGAATTTCTATTAGAAAAAATATATTTAATTTTGAATATAATTGATCAATGAACAAATTGAAAATATGAAACTGCTTTAAAGTAGTATTACATCAAATTGTTTGATAAAAATTGAAAAAAAAAAGGAATGTTTTTTATGAAACTTTATGAATATTTTTTTAATGCACGAGTTATAAAAGTCTAGCAAATTCCTTCTTTTTTCTGTAATGCAGATCTCGTGTATCAAGATCAAGAAATAAATTACCAGTAGATCCAGTCGATGCAGGAGGTGATATACCGGCCAAATCGTCGAGGTACTATGAAGATGATCGATTATTTTACCAAACTCTTTGAATTTTTGTCACAATCTATAATGAAGGTTCAATAAATATATAAAATGTATGTAGTAATGCAGTGAAAAACAGTTTCTTATAATTATGTGAGTTGTGAGGGATTATGTTGTTTTTAAACTAATTTGGGTTTTCAGGTTTATTACCTCAATGATAATAATAGATTTCAGAATCATGATTATAAATCCCTTTTCCACTATATATCACAATATTTCTATGGTATTTGACATACTCTATCAATTTCAAAATAACATCTGTCAGTTTAAAAAAAATATTTTAATTTTCCTGACTTCAAAATAACCAGCAAATTATTTGACACAAATTTTTAAAATTCATAAATGGATTGGCAGACATTTGGTGAAAATTTCTGATAAACATATTGAACAACTTATTATGATATTTTTCACTTACCTAACCCTTTACAAAACAGCAGCACGTCGTTGTTCCATGAAAGATTTTATGAATCTCATTTAAGAAGTTTATTTGATATTTTTTAGAGCAGAATCAAAAGGTGTTCTTGGCCAATTGTGAACATGATCAGTTTGAACAAACTAAGCATGATTCAATGATTATGATTTAGTGCAGTATGCAAGAGAAAGCAACAAGGTTTAAATGAAGTACTTAAGTGACCAACTATTTAGACTGAATGAATGTAGACTGGATGTGACCCAATTCAACATATAAAATCAATAAACATAAGAAATCATAAGTAACGTGATTTTACAATTAGGCTGTTGATTATACTTTGATGAAATATTGAAGGCATAGGTCATTTGAAATCCTTACTTTTTGTTATTATTTGCATGTCTTACCAGTAAACCACTTTATTCCATCTAGGTGTTTTACCACCGTTAGGATCAGTTGGTGTCTCATAAACACAATGTCCCACACGAATTCTGCAGTAGGGATCCATTCTTGTCATTCCATAATTTTTGGCTAATTTTGCCTGAGCCACTGTGATGCTTAGTCTTCCAGATGGGTTTGTGACATAAGAAAAAGTACTTCCAGAATAATGCTGCTGAAGAGCAAGTGCTGCTTGCCTATCTGCAGCTTCTTGTTGCTCTTGAGCAGATGTGTTGACTCGTAAGAAGTCTTCTGGGAGAGGTCCCAAAAGGATCTGCAAAGAAAGGATTTTTTCATATTTATTTCGAATTAACAAATATCAAATTCTTTCACCAACAAGAAAGTTTCGAAAAATATTTCTATAAGTGTTACAAATTGGTCTCATATAATAAACAGATTGGCAACATACAATTGCTGAAGATAGGATTATCAGCATGAAACTTTTCTAATGAAAGCAAATTTTCATGTGATCCATGCTTAGTCCTTACTGGTTTCAAAAACCAGAACTTGAAAAACGTTTGATTTTCAAAATTTGTGATTGATAATTTTTTGTTTATACATCTTAATTTTGAAGACGTTGTTTCCTAATTGGTAAATCCCTCTCAAAAATCCTTACCCTGTCACGCCTTTCTTTAACTTTGTCTGAAACTGCAGAAGCCATTATTTTGTTAAGACTATTAACAATATTCATGAAACCTATCAAAACAACGACATTAAAATATTTTGCTTAACGCAGCTGATTTGTTTTGCGATTGCGAATTACCTAAAGGTACGTTCAGCGTACAAACAACACAAAACAAAGACAAGTTCTTGAATTCACCGATGAATTCATTTGAAACTAGTCTCTATTGGTTGACGCAATCCATCAGAAAATTTCATTGATTTCAAGAAATTGACTCTATATAAAAATAAAAACTACCAATAATTTCATCCTATGGTAAGCAAAATTCTAAACGAAGTACTCATAACCAATAATTTAATGAAGTTTTTTCGAAAGCAAAGCCAAGAAATTGGAAAGCTGAGATTTATTTATTCAATAAATAACAGTGATAGTGATTTGTGACTTCAATTATTTTTTTCGAGTACTACTAATTCTTATACCCAATAAAAACTTCCAAGCGTAATGCAACAATAAGGATGCAGGTATATTTCAGATATAATGCTAGATAGTGGGGATCCCATAGCTAGTCCATCTGTTTGTTTATAAATTTTTCTTTCGGATTCGAAATTTTGTATTTAGTATTGTATTGAGGTATTTAGGGTGGATTCCATCTGGTTAATGTAGGCCTTGTTTATGTTTTGGTGTTTTAGTTTATCTGATATGATTTTTATACATTCGTTGATCGGTACGTTGGAGTACATGTTTTTTTATGTCGAATGAGAATAGTTTAGTGTTCATTCTGAAATTGATTGAGATTCTGAGTTCCATTGTATTCTCGATGCTGTGGTTGTTGTTCCTATTGATTTTGTTTTTACAGTTCATCTGCTATGATTTTTGAAATTTTGTATGAAGATGCTTTGGTGAAATTGATAACTAGTCTTATAGGTTTATTTTCCTTATGTATTTTCATCTGCGAGTTGAGTTTTGGTGCTCTTGGGTTGTTGACTGTGTGTCTATTCAATGTTTTGTTGTTGAAGATCTGTTTGTTGAATTTTATTAGGCTAAACATTTGTCTTTCGAATTTTGTGGTTGGGTCGTGGTTCATCATACTAAAATTATTTACCGTAATTTAGTTGTTCACTTTCATACTCAATTCAAGTTTTTCGATTATAACTGTGGCGTTACTTTTGTCGGCTTTAACTGCTGTGAGGTTGTTAGAGAATAACTTCCTTTTTATTGATTTGATAGCTTTCGTGATTGCTGGTTTCTCTGGAGTTTTTTCAAATTTTGTGTTTATTCGTTTCAGCTAGTTGATTACTTCCGATCTGATTTCGTCTACTTTTGATGTTTCTACATGGTTCAAAACCATATCTGTGTCAACAATTAAGTTGATACAGAAAGCGCTCGCATATAATAATTAGAAGTTTGTGATATTGATGACTTATTTATTTTGTGGAAATTCATCTTCAATTAGATATAGGAATAAAATACTTTGTCTAATTTCCACTTACTTAATGTATTGATATTAATACGACCAAGGTTTCGGTTTTTACACCATTCTCAAATGTTCTAGCTAGTGCTAAACCTTGGTCATATTAATATCAATACATTAAGTAAGTGGAAATTAGACAAAGTATTTTATTCCTATATCTAATTGAATAATTAGAAGTTATCAAAGCTTCTTTTTGTGAACTTGTGTTAATATTAAAATACTGAAAACAAAGGAAAAGTAGTTGCATCAATCAAATCGAGAACGGTTATTGCAGTCAAGCTGCCGGGAAATAAATCCATGAAAATCAAAAGACAAATATATGGATCACTCCCATATTGATTTCAATTTAAGAGCCGCCGGTAGGCTGAAACAGCTTGTCAATATTTCACTATAAATGTAAGTTACAAAAAGGATTTGAAGCTCTATGACTTCTATTTGATTATCTGCGATCGCTTTCGACAGCTGGTCGTGCTGTCGTGTCGTGCTGTTCCTAGAGATGAGTAACTGAATCTGTAACAAAATGTATCAATATTACAAAAAGAAGATAAATATAATCTACATAAGAAAGGTATTGCCAGAAAGTATGTTGATATCCATTGAGAAAAATCATTGTAAACCGTAAAACAAACATGAAGTTTATGGTGCATGACTGTTATAAGAATATCCATGTATATACTAAAGTATATAAGCGAAATAGCTGCTGTATCCAGACATTATATATAATTGGCGGCGAACCGTTAATAACCTCAAAATTTGAATTGTGTATTGAATTTATTTTACTTGTAACTTTAGTAAAACTGAAAGATGCAAGCATATTTAAAATCAGGAAAACTAGGAGAAAGTTCCGGAAGGAGTAGTAATGCTTCCTCCAAAACTGCAAAGAAACTAAAATCGATACCTTGGGTGGAAAAATACCGTCCAAAAACCGTAGCAGATGTTGTTGAACAGAGTGAAGCTGTTTCAGTATTAGAACAATGTATAACAGGAGCAGATTTACCAAATCTGTTATTTTATGGTCCACCAGGAACTGGTAAAACTAGTACTATTCTGGCAGCAGCTCGACAACTATTTGGAGATATTTATAGAGAAAGAATCCTTGAACTCAACGCGTCTGATGAGAGAGGAATTCAAGTCATTAGGGATAAAGTTAAAGCTTTTGCACAGTTGACTGCAAGTGGTACTAGACCTGATGGCAAACCTTGTCCACCTTTCAAAATAATTATATTGGATGAAGCTGATTCCATGACCCATGCTGCCCAGGCTGCCCTTCGACGTACAATGGAAAAAGAAACAAAAACTACTCGATTCTGCTTGATTTGTAATTATGTGTCTAGGATAATTGAACCTCTGACTTCAAGATGTACAAAATTTCGCTTTAAACCCTTGAATGAATCAATGATACTTGAAAGATTACTTTATATTTGTAAGGAGGAACATGTAGATTGTGATGAATCAACTCTGAATACTCTGGTCAAAACTAGTGGAGGTGATATGAGAAGAGCCATTACATGTTTGCAGAGTTGTGCCAAGTTGATTGGTCGTAGTAACAAAATTGATATTGATAGTGTACTTGAAGTTACTGGAGTTGTTCCTGAATTCTGGTTGAGGGACTTCCTCAAAGTTTGCAAGGATTTGGTAGATTACAGCCATTTAGAATCTTCCATTCAGAATCTCATGTTGGAAGCATATGCAGCATCTCAGATTCTTGAACAATTAAATGATTATTTGGTTAACAGTGATGAGTGGAATGATAAACAAAAAGCATTGATTGGAGAAAAGTTGGGGGTTGTAAGTTATCGTTTGCAAGATGGCGGCTCAGAATATATCCAACTATTGGACCTAGCCCATACAATTATAACAGCTTATGCTTGAGTTCATTGAAAACAGTTATATTTGCAATATTCTGTCTGACTTCATTGAAAACAGTTATATTTGCAATATTCTGTCTACTAAACATCTCTTCACGTAACATATCTGTTATAGAATACACCAATATTTACCCAGTCTCACAGACTGTTTTTTTCTGCAGTCACTAGAACAAACACACCATCAGTTAAAGTGACCCTGAAATGTATTGAGGAATAGTAAAAGAACATACTATCTATTCAGGTTTTCATAAAATCATAAATATAGATATACCTGCACACCTACTGGAACATCTAATATTTTTCATTGTTTCAAGAACTTACATTTTTATTGGTTTTACCTGGTTAAGTTTAATTTTTTTTATTTGTAATATACACCTTGTAATATGTATGTTGTTGAAGAAAAAAGTATTTTTGATCACTATATGAATTACATAGAATCAACGAAATACCATTTTATGAATTTAATAGTAATTTTGATACATAAGTATAATGTATTTCAGAATTAAATATTTTTGGGATTTGAGACCCTGGCATAGTAGCAACAATCTTTATTGTATTTTTTTTCATTCCCTTTTAGTACCTTTACTTTCCAGGAGATTAAGAAAGTAACAATGGTAGCAAAAGATGAGAAAATGTCTGAAATGTGCTCTCATATTTTTTGATTTATGGATGTTTGCAAAGGGGCAAACCGCGGACACGTGTTTCTGGCTATTGGCTATTTTTTGAGTGTTGTATCCACGAATTATTTCATTCTTGATTTGTATCATACACACTCGATAAAATCTCTATCTGTATTTATATCCTGGACCCGGATGTCACGCAGGTAGCTATAGCTGCCTACGTGGTCATGTTAGATGTAGCCT